GTGGGACAAAACGGCAGATCGGCGTGGGCGTCGTGCACGTCGGTCGGATAATCGAGATCGACCTCGAGAATGTAGCCGACTGTCGAGTCCTCCGTCACGGACATCACGTCGAGACTCTCGAGGTCGTCGACCCACTCGAATCGCTCGTACGGAAACGGCTGACACATCGCCCAACCGTACAGATTGTTGGTATCGAGATACATCAGATAGATCGACGGTCGCGACGGATCATACGCGCTCATGTACTTGTTGTTAGTGCGAGCGTATCTGTTAGAGCACACTCAGACCACCGCGTATTCCGCATTCCATGAACATCATCATATCGATATCGATGAGCAGCTCGAAGCGGACTCCCGTGTACTTCAGCATCGCGGCGTGTATCCCGGCAGCGTGAAGTAGTACGCGGGATCTAAACCGTAACTCTCCAAACAAGCGGCGCGAAAATTTTCGAACACGTCCGCGAGCAGAAGAACGTCGGTCTTCAGATAGAGATTGCTGTACTCGCCCAACGTTTCGACGCTAAATCGTTTCCAGACGCACGTCGCGTAATCGCACTGCGATACGGTATCGCCGGTCAGAGAACTGTAGAATGACTCGCGCGGTGGGAGACGCGTCTCCCGCAGTCTCTCGACGCTGTCGACGTACTCGTACGGAAACACGCCCTTGCGCGTGAGAAGCCGGAAGTCGTCGTCGGAGAGATCGCGAAACTCGCCTCGCGCGATCGTCAGTTTGCTCTCGTCGAGATACGACGCGAGCTTATCGAGACCGGCGCTTAAAAACTTGAACGAGTCCACGAATCGTAATTTGACGCATCTGGAACGCGCGGCGTTTCTCCCGTCCCCCTCCGCCGCGGTATCTCGAACGGTCTTCAAGAAAGCTATGTACGATTCCTTCGTCACCGGCAACAACTCGACGCTGCCCGGATATGCGTTAGCCACATCCTTGATAATGAAGTGTGCGTCGTAACCCGATAGATTGTGAAAGAATACGGATATGACGTAGGAGTCCTTGTAATTCAAATTGCACGCGGAATGCGCCGGACCTCTGAAACGGCCGGTCAAGTGACAGTGATCACGCACGCGAGCGTCATCGTCCTCGAACGGTCTCTCGCATGCGTAACAGCGCGACGCGCTCGCGAATATCTCCCGCTCGTCCGGCGTCAGATCCGTCATCGGTACCAAAGCTGCCAGATCTCCGCCGCAAGCAACATGCAACACGGCGTGGAGGGGGTAATGAGGATGTAAGCGTAAGCGTACGTGTGAGCTCGGCGCTTCGGCTAGCTTCGGATAGAAGAAGAGGACAGAATATAGTCTTCTGTCTCCTTCCTACCGAAAGACGGGCAACACGCGACGCGTCACGCTCCTCGATATTTCGATATGCGCTCAATGTTTCTTTTACAGCATTTTTATTGTAGAATATGTATCTGTATATATATATGTATACACATACATATTATAAACATATTATAAAGAATAATATTTAAATAATTATATTTGTATTATATATATATATATATATATATATATCTCTAATATTTAATATATTTATAATATATATATATATGTATATATATATATATATATACATATATATATATACCGTACAAATATAAATATGTACTAATTATATTACAAAAATATATTATAAAACTATTTAGTTTTTTATAATAATTTAACACTTGTTTTCTCTCTCTCTTTCTCTCTCTATATGTATATATATATATATATATATACATTTAAAATATAATAATAAAATAAAAAAATTTAATGAGTAGCGATTTTCCACACCACGGGGTATCACCAATGGCGCGTTAGATTTTTTTATGTGGATCTTCGCCTAGAGCCCTATTATACCACATTGCATTATTTTATCATTTACAAGTATGATGTCTGTTACACAGACAAGATGTTTTTAATATTTTTACTTTCCACAAATATGATGTCTGTTACACAGACAAGATGATTTTAATACTTTTACTTTCCACAAATATGATGTCTGTTACACAGACAAGATGATTTTAATACTTTTACTTTCCACAAATATGATGTCTGTTACACAGACAAGATGATTTTAATACTTTTACTTTCCACAAATATGATGTCTGTTACACAGACAAGATGATTTTAATACTTTTACTTTCCACAAATATGATGTCTGTTACACAGACAAGATGATTTTAATACTTTTACTTTCCACAAATATGATGTCTGTTATACAGACAAGAATATTCTTAATACTCCTACTTTTTACAAATATGATATTTGTAACAGACGAGATGTTTTTCACGTATTTATCTTTTACAAGCGTAATGTTTGTAATAAATTTATTATTTATGAGATGAGGGGCCAGCTATGTCAATGGTACCTGCAGCATGTAATTTTAAAATACTTTTATTTTTTTTAGCAACGGTAGCATATAACTTATCCGCTGACATAAGAGACAAATGCTTTTCATCAATTTTCATTTTGATGGCTGTCTCGCCTCTCGTTTTTAATGCAGATTTAAATACACAAATAGCATTAACAGTAGCTGACGAAAAACTATTACGTTTTTTTGTTTTTAAATTATTTAAAAGAGAAAACATTCTCTCCGAATCGGCATTTGAATTTGGAAGAGATCGAATAGTACTTATAATATTTGTTAAATTGGGATATTTAGCAAGATTGTTGTGTCGATTTTGTAAAATTTTTTTCCACATGCTGTCGAAATTTAATTTAGAAAAGTTTTGTTTTTCTTCTATTGTAAAATCTGATGGTAAGGCCATCCATTCCTTCTTTAAATCAGTTTCATCAAAACCGCCGATAGTTTTAGCTATAAAAGAAACATCATTGAATGATGTTTCTCTATTGTTATCAAATAAACTTATATATGATCGAAAAACTTGTAACTTTGATAAAAATATATTATTTAGAGGTAATCTTTTACGAATTTCTTCTGCAGCAGTCACATAAAATAATAAACAATTCTCTCGAACAATTGTAACTATGTTTATGTGACCTTTCAGCGTTAATTCGTTTAGATATTCCTCACATTCTGATCCCAAAATAATTTCATTAATAGGTTTTTGATTTTCTTTTAATGAAAATATAATATTTGAAGAAAATGGTTTTAAATATTCTTCTTTTATAAAATTTCGACAGATTTGGAAAAGAAAGTTTAAAGATTTTGGATATAATAAATGAATCCTTGTTTCTAATGCTTGAAAAAATGCATTAAATGCATTAAAAAAATTCAAAACATATTTTAAAAATAGAAAATAAGCTTTTATCTCTACGTTGTCCATCATAGACAAGAGATATTCTCCAGAATTTGTTTTTTCGCTCACAACCATTTCAGTAAGAAAGTATTTAATTGTATCCCAAGATTCAAGAAGTCTTTCGATACATAAATAATGCGAAAGCCAGCGCGTATCACATAATTTCAATATTTTGCGATTTGTTTCTTGGAAACATTCACAAAATTCACGAAAAATAGCCGTACGTTTTGGACTGCTATTGAGATAAGTAGCAATTTTTTTTAGAAATTCTTCGCAATATGCAGGCATTTTAGAACATGCAGCGTGCGCTGCTAATGCGGAGGAATGACATGGGCATGAAAACGTTAATAAATGTGGACATATTTCTTCTAATTTTTTTTTAAACAATAAATGTTTTCCTGTCATAACAGATGCATTGTCACATGATAAAGCTACGATATTTAAAAATGGAATCTGTAATTTCCACATTTCACATTTAAATGCCTTAAACAACTTTTCTGCACTTGAATCTTTGGCATCAATATCAATTAATTTAACTAATTGTGAGCGAATATCTAATGTCTCTGGATCAACGTATCGAACAAGAAAAGTCATCCATTTATCATTAGTTATATCAGATGTTTCGTCAATAAAAATTGAAAATTTTGTATTCTGAATTTTATTGACGACACGATCTGTTTCAACTGGGCATAAAACATTTGTAATAATGCTTTTACATTTTGTTCGGCCCATACTTATGCTTTTTAACACATTAGGGTCTTTTCCAATATGTTGAAAAAAGTTGAGAATTTCTTTTGCAGTTTGATGCGAAATATTTTTATCAGCAATTAATGCAGCATATCGAATTTCTGCTATTTTTTTTCGCTCTTCAAACGACAAAAGTGAATCATCTGTTATGTTTATATTTTCGTTTGTATTCTTTGTTTCTGTTTTAATTTTACATATTTCTATATGCGCTTTGGATTCTGCATGACGATAAATTTTCGATAAATCACCTCTCATTGATTTATCACAAAATGAACAAAAAAATAAATTTTCATGTGATACTTTGCGTAACCATGGCTTAAATAATTCTATTTCTAGCCATTATTCTTGAAATTTATATTTTTCGGATATTTTTTTATTTGAATTTTTATTATTATTTTCACACACATTATTAGTATTTAAAGCTAAATTATTTTCTTTAATATTATTTTTATGACACGCAAAATCCGCATGTCTTAAAATATGTGTATTGCACGAAAAATTTTTATTGCATATACTACAATAATAAAGACTATCATCGGATGGTACTTTGCGTATCCAAGATTTATATCGATCATCATTGAGTCAAGCATCTGAAAAGCTTCGCTTAAATTTTTTTTTCAATTCATCACTCATTTTTGTGAAACAAAAAATAGACAGAAACAAAGAATTAAAGAAGCTAAAGATGAAAAATGATATATATATATATATATATATATATATATATATATATAGAGAGAGAGAGAGAGAGAGAGAGAGAAATTTGAAATTTGAAATAATCAGAACTCACACACAAATCGGGATTGTGAGTTCTTGAACACCAAGATTTCAGAGCACGTATAAAAAAATACGTTTACTTGATAGTATAAGGCGACAAAATTATCTGATGAAAATAAATGCCGCGAAATAAATGAACGGCGTAAATCAAATTAAACGGCATGAAACAAATAAACAAATGCCGAGTGTGTCTCATTCATCCAAGCACGGCGATAGATCGAACATGTCTCGTAAGTAAATCATTATTTATACAAAGATATTAAAAAATAATTTAATCTTTAATTTCTATTTTAATTTTTTCTTCATAATTTTATAGAAGATATTAATGAAGAGATGGACGCTTTGGTGCTGCAAGATGCTGCGCAGCCAACGATGCAGCAGCTGATGCAACAAATGTTGCATCAGCAACATTTGTTGCATCAGCTGCAAATATTTATGCAGCAGCAGCAGCAGCACCAGCAGCACCAGCACCAGCAGCAGCAGCAGCAGCCGCCGTCGCCGCCGCCACCGCCGCCGCCGCAGGAACAGAAGGAGCAACAGCAGGAGCAAAATGGTACATTATTTTTTATATTAAATTATATATATATATATTATAATTTGTTTTATTTTTCAGAAAATAAAATTAAAAAAAGAGGAAGCGGCAAGGCTCGTGCCCGCTGGTATACCCAGCGCGGCAGGGGCATGTCTGGCGGTCGAGGAGGCGACCGAGGTCAAGGAGGTTGGGCCCGAAGAGGCGCCGGGGTCCGAGGAGACGGCTGGGCCCGAGGAAGCCGAGGAGGCGGCTGGGCCCGAGGAGGCCGAGGAGGCGGTTGGGCCCGAGGAGGCCGAGGAGGCGGTTGGGCCCGAGGAGGCCGAGGAGGCGGTTGGGGCGTCATAAAAAATTATTATTATTATTGATATTATTGATATTATTGATATTATTATTGATATAGAAATATAAAAAATAATTAATAAAAAATAATTAATAATTTATAGAATATTTATTTATTCAATATCTTATTCCTTTTATCCTTTATTTCTAGATATTTTTTTCTCCATCTTCTATATATGAATACAATGTGGTATAATAGGGCTCTAGGCGAAGATCCACATAAAAAAATCTAACGCGCCATTGGTGATACCCCGTGGGTGGTGTGGAAAATCGCCACACTCATTAAATTTCTTCATTTTATTATTTTAAATGTATATTTATAGAGAAACAAGTTAAATTACTATACTAAATAGTTTTATAATATATTTTGGTAATATAATTAGTACATATTCATATTTGTATAATATATTTATAATGTATATATATATATATATATATATATATATATATAAATATATATACATACATATTGTGACCGTTTATTATATTTACTTAATGAGGGCCGTAAATGAGACCTGGCCGGTGTACTGGCCCGCGGCACACCTTCGGCGCGATCCTTACTCAATTTTTATCTCCAAGAAAATTCTGGGCGCCAGATGCGAGAGTTCGCATCACTACAATAAAAGTAGTTCGATACCTTATCAGGAGGTACGCACAATTCACTACTAGATTAACCGCGATGGACGCTCGGCTAGCCCCGTCTCGGAAATGGTAGAGGGGACGGTCCGTATTAATTTTTCACAAGGAGGGATCGAGAATATCAAGGGGGCTGCAAATAAGATCAACAATATGATTATAACAAGAAAGAGTATATTTAATAATTAGATAAAGTGCGATATGTGACAGATTCACACAAATTTTTGGCAAGATGTTGAGCGTTTGAGTATGAGCGAACTCTCCGGCAACGACCGGCCGGCATTCATGTGTGATCACCGCGGTATCACGTGCCACGCAATAGAAAAAGTCGCGCAAGAAAGCCTTAGAATATTGCGTTAAACGAGACGTAGCAGGGCCTCGGCAGCCACAAATTCCGCTTAAATTGTTCGTAATTATCACCGCGGTGATGCTCGGGATCCGAATATCCGCTTTTTCACGGCAAAAAGAAAAGAAAAGAATTAAATAACGGCAGTAGACTAATTCATCAAACGCGATACGCATAGAATCGATTATTACGTGAGTCGATCCGACAAGTACAAAGGTACGATAATCACGACAGAATTAAACAATTAATTATCTCAGACAAATGATCGAATGTGACCGCGACAACTAGCGATACTAAACGCTCAAAAACGCACACGAGAGACTCAGATAGCGAACCGAAATTTCACCTTACAAAGATACACGAGCCGATGCCGCTACGCATTCGTCGGCTATCAAATATCGCAATCGTCTTTGTGCGTGTGAGTTCGTTACCCGCTAATTCTTTAACACCAAATTAGACATGCAACAAAAAAATTTATTCGCAATTACATCAAGGACGACTGTTGGCGCTTGACCGGAAGAGAGGGCACTTATTATTATTGTAGCTCGAACGAAGCGTTTCGGCCGGCCGGGGTAATCTATTGCGCACTTCTCGTGCGGGAATTAATCCTGCGTAAAAAGAATTCTCTCAACGGCAGCAATACGGCACGTGCTTCGTTCGGGCTGACTCTACCTGCTATTCTAACGATAACCCGGCTTGAGGAGGTCGACGCTTGTCTCACCGGCGACTCCCGGGGATCCTGGGCTCTCTCGGCATCCGTGATGAGGTCGATCGCTTTGGGGCCGTCGTTCCCTCACAGTGGTCCGCCGAACAGTGACGAGCGGAAGGCCCGTCGGAATCGTGCCGGCAATTAATTCGTATCCAGGCCACCTGTGGCGCTTCCGCGACCGCAGGATCGGCGCGAATTCTAATTATTCCTGCGGCCCTCAGGGCCGCATTTTCTCTTGTCGCTATCCGGTTGCTTTTTCTCCCTTTTCTCAGCTCTTTTCAGCATGGCGTAAGGATTTTTCCGGCAGCCACTCGCCATTCTTTTAGAGATGTCCGGCAGCGCTTAATTTGGCCGAGCTGGCTCCGTTTCGGGACTCTTCTATTGTTCCTCGTACCTGCTGGATATACGGAGGTTTATAGGGGCGGCAGCGTGAATATAAATAGTTTTAAAATTTTTAGAGCTGATTCGGATACTTAGCTCGACCTCCCTTTTCCTTGTGATCGGCGCCTCCGCTCGTCCCGCGCGTATCCTTCTTCGGTCTTCCTCGCAGGATCGAGTCACCGGATGAGATCTCGTCACGTCCTCCCTCACTTCCGTTTTCAATATCCTTAAAATTAACGCTACAAAAAAAAGGGGGGAGGCGAGCCTACCCTCGCCTTCGCTATTCGCTCTCTCTCTCCAAATCGGGGGAGAACGAGGGCCCAAAAACGACACCGATCAGATCTCGCCCTTGTGACGGACCGTCAAGCGTCACGTCACAATATATATATATATATATATATATATATATATATATTTAATAATATATATATACATATATATATATATAATATATATGTATATATATTATAAATATATTAAATATATTAAATATTATATATATATATATATATATATATATATATATATATATACATTATACAAATATATTATAATTATTTAAATATTATTCTTTATCGTATAATATGTTTATAATATGTATATGTATACATACATATATATATATATATATATATATATATATACAGAGACATATTCTAAACACATTATACAATAAAAATGCTGTAAAAGAAACATTGAGCGCATATCGAGATATCGTGGAGCGTGACGCGTCGCGTGTGCTCGTCTTTCGGTAGGAAGGAGACAGAAGACTGTATTCTGTCCTCTTCTACTATCCGAAGCTAGCCGAAGCGCCGAGCTCACACGTACGCTTATGCTTACATCCTCTTTACCCCCTCCACGCCGTGTTGCATGTTGCTTGCGGCGGAGATCTGGCAGCTTTGATCGATACCACGGCGTCGAGGTCGACCTTCGCGCGAAGCGCCAGATTGCGCAACTCGCGCACAAACCACGCGACGCAATCCTCGCCGCGATAAGATCCGTACGCCGACGCGGCGTCGTCGAAGGAGCAGCGTGTAATATGTCACGCTGTGAACCCTGTGATGCTGAACGATCCTCGTATTCGCAGTTTTGCCGCCCTCGTCCCCCTCCTTCCTCTCCAACGCGCACTCCAGATCGGCATACACCACGAAAATCATACACCACGAACGGAATTCGCTCCTTTCTAGAATGATGATCGAACGTCAGCCACCTGTCGTCCTCGTCGGGAAAAACTATCGCGCAATCGTTCAGCTTGCCGCAATCCGCGCTGTGCGTCGACAGCTTCTCGCTCGTGCGAAAGTAATGCATCCCAGTCAGAAATGTAACTTTGATTCAAAGTTGATTCAACGTCGATATGGTTGACAACTGGTTGAGTCGATATTTAGTCAGAGATGTAACGTCAATTCAATGTTGATTCGATACGTTTGACCTGCAGTTGATGCGTCATCCGCTTGAGTCGAATAATTGAATAAATTGATTTTCGTGCAATATCGATTTATGATTTTTGAATGTTTCATATAGCGTGAGATTATTTAAATTAATTATAAGTAATTTTTTTATTATTACTAATTAATAAAATATTAAATTTGCAAGAGATAAAAATTATACGCAATAATTAAAATTAAAAATTTTTGATATAATTAATATTAGAAAAATATTAAGAATATATTGAGGCATAAATATATAAAATATTATATATATATATATATATATATATATATATATATATATATATATAGAATTATTTCTATAAGGTTTTGCAATTTTTTTGCGAATGCGTTTTAACTACGCGCGGTAATCATAACCGCGGTGAAACAACAGGAAGCACAGATCGATGTGTGCAAACATATGTTGGCCGTGTTCCGAAATTACTGCCAGTACTGCAAATTCTATAGTGCACGTTACGTATATTATATATTTTCAGTGCTGGCAGTAAACTGGCAGCAATTTCGGAACACGGCCGTTATGTGCAGTTATTGTGTGTGCGATATTTCTTTTTGCTAACCGAGTTTTGCAAGTCTCGCAGTCTCGACAGGTAAGATTAGATAAATAAATTTCTATTTTAATAAATATAATATTTGGTTGCAAATAGTTAATTTAGTAATGCAAAAATATTTGTCCGCTAATACGTAGTGCCTATGCCGGCTTTGCCACACGTGGACACACACCATATATTACAATAAGTTAAATTGAATAAATTATTAATTTATATTCTTTTTGATAGTTAAATTATAAAACAATTTTATTCAGTAGTGAAAAATACACATAGTAATGTAATCTTGTATCATATATTTATTTATCTCTCAACCTAACCTAAAAGTGATAAAGCTATTAAATTTTGAGAATGGAATATTTATTAATATAAGATAGAAAATAAATATTTTAAAAGTGTTAAATTGTTTATTAGTACAATTGTAAAATTTCCGTATACAGAAAAATTAATGCTTTAAAATGTAAAATTGGCTATTTACTTTGTAAATAGTGTATAGCGAACAAATATTTTTGCTATTACTAAATTTAACTGGCAATATTTATTTTTATTTTATAATATTTTGCTATTGTATGTAGAGATTAACATTTGCTGAAATAAAAATCAACTCTTATTGATGAAAGCATCTTATAAGATAAAAAAAGAAGTTCAAATTAACAGTACATATAATGGACATCGATGAGAATAACAAGGGGTACATATATAATTATTTTTACATATAATACATTGTACATTTTGTGTGTGTGTGTGTGTGTGTGTGTGTGTGTGTGTGTGTGTGTGTGTGTGTTTATATCCATTTCTTATATCTGATTAGTAGATTATTTTTTTATGTAATAAGAATGCTATGCTCAAGTGATTAAGATTTCTGTTGTTTGTTTCATACGAAATTCAGATACTTTAATAAAAAGAATAAAGATTAATTAATTATTCTAATTATATATGTT